CCTCCTCTTTGACCCGTGCGATGGCCTTTCCCATCTCTGAAAAACCCTGGAAATCACTAAATAAAATTATAATATTGTAACCGCGTGTTGAGGAATCGCACAACAGGAAAACAATGACAGCCATAAGTGCAGATAGGCGCGCCTCGGGGCAGGAGAGCGGCGCCTAATTGGAATTTTTCATAGGTTAAAAAACCTGTTGAGGATAGCGCAGCGCGGAGCACTACTACAAGTATCCATCCGGACGAGACATTGCATAATTATACGTTTTAAAAATGTACTTTAAACTATAGTTTTACAATAATAAATGTACAGAACACATATAGTTACAATTTACAAATATATATTTGTTAGAGCATTCGGACTTACCACTTCGCACGGGAACAATTAATAATCTGGAAAAGTTTGATGCCGATTTTTTTGATATATCTTTCAAACAAACAAATATACTTGATCCTATGATAAGAATGTTACTGGAACACAGTTACGAAGCAATTATCGATGCAGGGATCAATCCAAAACAATTACGAGGAAAAAATACTGCAGTAATCATTGGAACGTGTTATTTTGAATCACAATTGTCATTTTTGTACGAAAATTTGCAGGTGAAAAAAATTATTGATTGATAAATATAGTAAGAAAAAAATAATTGCAAATAAATTATAAAAATTTTAATTAATATTAAAATTTGCTCTTTCTTATTAAACAATAATCGTAATAAAAACAGGCTATTAGAGCAGGAGCTGGTTAGAATTGCTTAAAAATTTATTTTATTAAAAATATAACAGACGTTTCGGCCTAAGGAATGTAACCATCTTCAGTGTAAAAATTTGACAATGATATTGAAGTTGTAACTAATGTTCGAGAGCGTTTCTTGTGCTTAATTAGCTTCCATCACAATCATTATTAACTTCATACACGATCTGCACATTTCGGTCGATTTTCGTAAGCTAATGCCTACTGGCTCCCCACTACGTCTTGAGGCAACGCAAGTAGCGCTCTGCTTCAGGTACGACGCATCTGTAACGCGATGAAGATTCGTGTCACGTGACTGCCAAATATCAATACTTTAAACGCGATCTTTAAAATATTTTGCTTTTTAATAATTAATTCAATAACAAAGTTTCAAAATTCTCGATTATAACATTTACGATATAAAAATCCTAAAATATTATTATATTATATTCGATAGATTAGATTTGTTTAATGTTCCAGAGACTCTTTCCAATTTGTAAATTAATAAATAACTGTTAATTTAAAGTTGAATAAGACGTTTTAATTAAAAACGTCTTACGTAGTGGGGAGCTGGTAGGCATTAGCTTACGAAAATCGACCGAAATGTGCAGATCGTGTCTAGCACTGATTTATATGCATAAATTTGTAATTGTTTATATCCTGTTATTAGAAAAACGATATAAATATTATTAAATATAGCGAATCTATGGTGGCAAATATAATTTCATATTTTGTATCAAGAAAGACTACAAAATAAAGAAAAATTATTGATATATGAAGATATAACACAACGACATAGTTGAAATAAATCATTCACATAATGATTTTTGTAATTACATGACCTATATAAATATACTACTTATATAAATCACTACTTCATGTAAATTAGATATCCGACGGAACCATTGTAGGATGTTCCAAATATGCAGCGGCAAATATGCTATCTCGTACATACGATCTGAAAGGACCATCGTATACAGTGGATACTGCCTGTAGCTCTGGTATACAGGGTGATTCGAAATAACCTGATGTCCTTGAAATGTCATATTCTTGAACGAATTTTAAGACGATTTTTCCTTTTGCAAAATTTTGTCCGAAGCTTAGTTTTCGAGTTATAACGGAAAATAGTTCGCTACTTACGAGTCCGATACAACGGGCAGGCAGGGACGCGTCATAAGACAAGCGCCCCTCTACACGGTCAATGTTATTGTATAATATTTTATATTGCATAATATAATTGATAATTTTGATTTTACATTGAAGTTTAGATTATTCGTGTATTTCCTATACAATATTGTACAATTATTATTGATCGTTTAGGGGGGCTATAACGTAATGCTTCAAAGTGAAATATTTGATGACGCGAGTTTTACATAAGTGACAAATTAACTAAAAATACAAAGCGAAGACGAAGTAGTAATCGCGGTTTGATTAAATATTCTTACCTTGGAGAGAATCGACGAGTTTATATTTTTTTGTGACGATTGTCCGTCTTGAAATAACAGCTTCTCAATTTCACTTGACACTTCACAATTTATTTCAAAACATCACTGTATTTACTGTGTTTAATCACAGTACTTTACTTGTATCACTCGTAAATATCAATTCCCGCACAGATTAAAGGCCAACCGCTTTTCCGTAACGTGTTACGTTGAGTTAAGTACTTCAATGCACAGAGAAAGTCATAACGTAACATAAGCGTGTATACACGCTACGTTACGATTTTTCTGTGCGTTGAATACTTAACGCAACTTAACGCGTTACGGAAAGTTTGGACGATGGCTTTAAGGCACAAAATCCCACCGATTTACGACCGATAAAATACGACCGATTTACTATTATTATTTATAAAGGTTATTGTTTGTTTACTTTTTGACCGTCGCATACGTAGTTCTACTGCACACTCACGAGATAGCACTGATGTAAGTATCGGTAGAGTAATTGCATGAAAAGAGCCTCGATGCGGATTCTCAGCGTTGATTGATCATAACGTGATCATAATATTATCGATCTCGCTATGGCGTACGTTGCTTTGCGAACGCGCTTGGCGCGAGATATGAGAGTGTCTTATTTTCATTTTTAGGCAATTTAATACCGTAACGAAAAAATGTAGACGGGTATTCTAAACATTCATCTTTCTTAAAATAACAAATTTCTTTCCACGTTGACTATCTGTCACGTTGGCTATCTTTAATAAAATTTAAATAATATGATATTTATTTCTGCATAGTAAAAGAAATCGTAGTATCGAAAAAAAAGCAGATTGCTATAATTGTATTTATTTAATAATCTTTTTAAATTTAAAAAATTTTTTTTCTCTCTCTCTCTCTCTCTTAATTGTTTTGCGGTTTTTAATAAATGTCCAACGAAAAGAGATTTGGTCGCCCTGAAAAGGGCGGATTTGTCTTATTTTTATAACAAATGTTCGAAATAGCCTCCGTCCATCTCAATGCAAGCTCTCAAGCGCCGTATTATATTATGTTGCACATTCTCCAACTTATCTTCATCAATACTCCAAATTGCTTCGTGCAATTTTTGCGTCCAATTCTTCCATATTTTCGGGAAGTTTCCTATACACGATCTCCTTACAATAACCCCATGGAAAAAATCCAGAGGGTTGAGGTCCGGAGATCTTGCGGGCCAATTTATTGGACCATACCGGCCCATCCAACGCCCAGGAAATTGTCTATTTAAGAAATTGATCACAATTCTTGCGTTGTGTGGCCCGGCACCATCTTGTTGGAAAACAATATTGTTCCTCTCGAGTAAAGGAACTTCTTCCAAAAAATCGGGCATTGTGT